GCAGTAACATGCAATCAGTTTGTGATACCACAGGATGAAGTGTGGCCAATCTGCTGCTGTCCACCTACAATTTACCTGCTTACATTCAGAGTTCAGCCAGAACTTCATAAATTTGACACAGAAACAAACCTTCGTCAGATGGTGTCATAGTTGCTGCAGGAAACAATCTGCAGAATAACACAAGCACCTGGCAACCGTGTTTGTACAGGACTATATCCAGAGTCGAGTCTCCTACTGCAAACAGACACTTTGCCAATGACTCACGCTCATCAGCACTGATTGACTCGGGCTGATTTCACCATGTTGGCAACCTGTCTGTCTGCTAAAACCTTCTGTCTGACAGTGACGACGGTCAGTCTGAAGGCTGGTGGTCCTCCCACCAGGTGAGCTGTGCAATCAGCTTGTGGTCACACAAGCTGCAGGTGTTGCACGCTCAGCCTCTGGGAAACCAGCTGGTTGCTCACAATCAGCCACTCAGTGTGAAAAAATCCAGTTTAATCACTGGGTAACAAGTTAGGAGGAGGCTGCTGTCCTGTTTTACTCTACTGGCACTGAGTCAATAAATAATGGTTAAAACATAAATAGCCGATCATCATCATCATCACACTGAGCACAGACCTCAGAGGCGTGCATGTTTTTATTATGAACACTTTCCTCTTGTCTGCAGCTGCTTATAGGGTTTGAGAGCGGGACGATCGTGCAGTGGGACCTCCGGGGCAAGAAGGCTGACTTCAGGATCTACTACGATGAGGTGAGTTTGATAGGTGAAGCCTATCTGTCTGCCCTCTTTCTACGTCTGCTGTGGTCTCTGTGTTTGTTTGTTTGTTTAATAATCAAACTGTAGTTTCATTTTAGCTGTCTCTGTGGGGATGCCTGATTATAGCAGCAGGAGGCAGGATATGTACAAGAATCTGGCGAAATTGAGAGGAATGGAGAACAAATTGCTTTAAAAACAAATTGGAAATGAGTCCCAGAGTCCCAGAGTGGGAACGTTCAGTTTGTTTATGACATCAAAGCCCTGCAGAGACATGTCAAGTTTTTCTTTTTTACATACAGACCTGAATAAAAACATGTGACACTGAAGTGTTACAGGTTCCTCAGGTGAAACAGGAAGTGCTTCAACATTGACTCTCAGCACTCTCTTCAAGTTACCCTCGCTGACCAAAGTCGAGTGCACTTTTCATCTCAGAGCGGCAACAACTTTTCTCATTTTTAACAAGGTGTTTGTTATGAAATGCTGCCTGCCAAACCAATTACTGCTCTTTGAAGAAGCAGTCATTAGAGGACCCGGGAACGCCGGTCCGGGCAGCCTCGGGCAGCTTGCACAGCACTGTCAGCTGGAACAGACGACAACGCTGGCAGCCAGAGACCAGCAGAGCGTAAACTCGTCATGTCAGACAGGTGTGTTAGGTTACACGGTCTGTATTCAGCCAAAGATGCTGCAGCTTTCAGCATCCAGGGATAAAACGTTTGCATGGTCTTTATCACAGTGCACGCTGAAAAGTTACACACACACAAAAATATATATTCATGTAATATTCAAATGTCTTTCATTAACAGGTCATTAACTTGTGTGTCTTCAAACATACGCACCATCAGCACATCTGCTGCCACCTCTTATGTCCTCCTTCTCCTGTGAACAGTAACGCTCACGCTCATGAGCTTTCTTTGTGGATCTGTCACCCGAGGAAAATAAAACGTGTCTCGATGACACGCGAGTGGAATTCATAGATTAAAGCTGATGTGAATGTGATTTAAAGGACAAAGAAAAGTAAGAACTTTAAGCTGTCAGCTCTTCATATGCACCAAAAATAATACTGACATTTGGTTTTGCTCTATATTTACACCCAGTCTTACTGCGCCTCCGTGTCTCTGTGGTTAAATGCACTTTTTCTTCTATAACACTTTATAAACTCCTATCTGGTGTGAAAGGACCTGCTATCGATCTCATCACTGGCTGCCTTTTCTAAAGCCTCGTTCCAGCATCGAGTCGCTGAAAGGTTATTATAGATGTTTCTCCGTCTGATGACGAAGGGAAAAACGCAGCCTACCCCCGGCTTTAAGCATTTTCTGCCGCCATCTGAGAAAATTCAGTTTACTGTGATTACCACAATAACGACCACATTAGGACTGATGAGCTCTAACAAAAGCCTCCTGAATAAGCTCGCTCAGCTTCAGTGTGCGAATGAGAAAAAGGTTAATTGGGAACAATGTCAGGCCAAACATCTCCGGGGTTATCCAGACTGTTTTTCTGCTGCTGACGCTCCCGGGGCCGTGACCTCTGTGGCTTTGACATGAATAACTGTGAATAATGTTTTTAAGAAGCTAAAGATTACCCAGCGAGGTCTTCTGAAGAACAGCGGCAGACATGTGGTGAGCGCAGGGCGATACCAGGAAAACGACTTTGCTGTTTTGGCTTGCGTGACGTTTTTTACCTGTACAGCTAAGGCGTGGTAGCTGTGACATCACTGAGTAGAGTCACATACGTATCACCGTGTGTCACATGCTGCAGAAGCGGTTTTGCTCTTCTGTGTGGACACCAAAGCTGTCAGATGAACATCATTGTTGTGTTTTTAATAGGAGTGTGTTTGATAGAGCTCCACGGGGAAAGTGTGGTCTGCCTTTGTATAAAACAATCTTGTCAGTTGCATTTTTCTCCATTGTATTTGGACAAAAGTGTCAATTACCATCCGCAGAAAGAAGCACTTTGTTATGTGCTAACCAGTTCTGAAGGATTATTATCTTCCTCCTTTGTCTCATATTTCATTTGAAGCATAGCAGGGCACTGACACTACGTGAGGACAGATTCAACAACGATACCAACGAGGTTTTATTCCAGATTTGGCCTAAAGCTAAATGCTGTAAGAATCAGTGTCGTGTGTCATCACGTTTCACTTCTGAATCAGCTTAATTTCTCCTGTGTGCAGTTTCGGTTCGGCTGTTCGGTAGGTTGTTACAGTTCATTTGAACTTGCTTCAGTTCTTCGGTGGACTTTGGTCTCAGCCGCTCGCCGAGCTCGGCGTCGTGTGGGGTCTGCTGCAGGACTCCTGGTTCCTCTTCCCCAATCAGGCTTCTTTCTCATGGCACTGCACGACACAATGATTCACTTGAAGTGCTTTATGACTTTGAGAGAAACACTGACTCTGTGTGATCGGTGCAGGCCATCCACTCTGTCAGCTGGCATCACGAAGGGAAGCAGTTCATGTGCAGTCACTCGGACGGCAGTCTGACGCTGTGGAACCTCAGAAACACCACCAAGCCATTCCAGGTCACCTTCCCTCACGGTGAGACACACACACACACTCTCATAATCCCAGAGACAAAGTCGTTGGGCTTTTCCCCTTTATACTCTTTGTATAGATCTGAATATCATAGACTGTAAACAACCCTCTGTGGACCATATGCTGTCATCTGATTTGGCGAGCAGCTCGTGGTTATGTCTTTGCTTTTCTCAGTGTAACCAGCCACCGTTCAGTCTCATTCACCAACATTCATGTTGGGTTACCTGCACATTTAGGGTAGACTGTGCTGTATCCAGCAGTGATTGTCGTATGTGCGGTGTTTCGCTGCTGCTTCGTTTTGATTTCCACACTCGGTGAAATCTGCCTCCTCTTCTGCCGTGTCTCCCTACGGCTTCTTCTCATGCAGGGCCGACCGAACTCGTCAGATTTGTGTTTTCTTGCTGTGAGCTGTAATCTCAGGCAAAATCACAAAGCAGAAAGCAGGCGGGATGTGGCTGACAGGGAGCGGGGCACAGCTGAATTCCAGCAGATCGTTTATTTGTCAGATATTTAGTGTCACTCAGGGCGAAAACGGGAGAAAGAGGAAAGGGAGGCATGAAAATGAGTAGAGGTCAACTAAGAACATAAAGCTGAAGAAAAGTAAACAGTTAAAATGTTATTTGCTGAGAATAATATAGTCAGATGTTTTTAGTTATAAATAAATGAGTTAAAAACTGTGAGGGTTTAAAATTCAGCATTTAAACGGCTCGACTGCAGCACCTTGGGCTTTTAGTAGCAAGAGGCTAGGTGAGAGGAAGGAGTGCTAACTGAGCTAATGCTAGCAAACGTGACTAACATGGTGTGTCCATAGTCTGAGTGTGTGGTAAGCAACAAACTTCACTGAGCTCACAGCAGAGCAGCATCTTAGTTATCAAAGAATTGGATTAAATATACTCCAAAATGCTCCGATATCACAAACATGTCCAGCTGAGTGATTTGAAATAGCTCAAAACTAGCAGAGCACTATTAGCTTAGTTAGCACCTATCTGTGACCTCTGTAAGGAAACGTACTTTAGTTTCAGAAATCAAAACCAGTTTGATTTTATTATGTTTTTGTTTTCCTTCAATATGACAATAAGTTACTACTAATTTGTAATGCATTACTTATTACTTGTTACTTTCCTTAGAGGTAATGGAGTATGTTACTTAATTGCCCATCAGAGAACTTATTACTTTCATGTTAATATGACCTGAAATTCATTATCTCATAATTATCAATTAACTCTGTAAACCCAAGGCTACGTTCCCACACACTGACACAAATTCCTAATGAGGACACAGTCTTTCTTTTAGTTTTTGCATTTGAACACAAACTGACAACAAAGAAAGTTAAAAAGCAGCCGCTGGCTTCTTCTAGGCTAGATTAGCATTAGCATTCTGCCTATGCAGATCATTGGCTGTGTCCCAAATCAGGGTCTGCACGCTTAAAGTACACGCACTACGCGTACTACGTACGGTGCGTACTATAAGTACGAGAAGTGCGGAAGTGAGAGGCTTGTGAAACGGGACGGTCTAGCCTTCGTCACGCTGTTCAGGTTGCCTAGCAACCATGATACTAACCGCGAGAAACGTTTCATACAGCTTTGTTTGACAGAAATGAAGGAGAAAAAATGTTTTGTTGGTCACTCATTTTTGTCATGACATCACTTTGATTAGTTGAGTATCTGAGGCTGAGACCACAGGACTGTAAAACATGATTGTTAGGCTTTATTTCTGTACCGAACAGTTATTTCAAGAGTAGTTAGTAAATAACAATTAGCTCTTGTTGTTCATGAGACTAAAGTCATCTCACTGTGGTAATGTAAATATAATATGGCCAATATTATAGTATTGTCAGATTATATATCTCATAATAATCTATAATCTATAGTCTCTCTCTCTCTCTCTCTCTCTCTCTCTCTCTCTATATATATATATATATATATATATATTTAGAGGCTGAAAGTACAAACATCACTAATGTCACATAACTTTGCCGACATGTGGCCAACAGCAATGTTTTAATGTTCTTCATTATTAAACATTCGCACATAAATAAGTGACGTCATATTCAGTACTTACTTTTGACAGTTCACAGCACACTCTTCCCTTCTGCCGTATTTTGCAGCAAAATTATCCACACCCACCGCTGCGCTATGAATTGTGGGATATATGGGACCACGAAACGTGCACCGGACCACGCTTGATATTTGGGGAAATCGACGGCGCATTTGGAGTATGCATTTGAAGTACACTTCGAATTGGGACAGCCGTCGTCGCGTGGTGGTGACGTAATCGCACTTAAAATGCGTACTTCAAGCGTGCAGACCCTGAATTGGGACACAGCACATGATGCAGATCTATACAAAGACTCTGAATGACTCTGATTCAGTATTTAGTTTGAACATCTTTTAAATGTCAGAATCAACTTCTTGTAGAGAATTATGGATGTTTGTCTTCTTCCAAGCATGAAACTGCTGTTCATGTTTGAACATGTCACACTGCCCCTCTAACACTCCAGGCTAACCTCTGCATACCTGTTATCACTCGCCATTGTTCCCTCTGTCACACAGCTGAGTCGACTTCTTCACAGTCGGGCAAAAGTCCATCATCTTGTTATTTATTTATAAAATTTACTGCTGAAGCTGCCAAATATGCTCACAAATTTTAGCTTATTTAAATTAGCAATTAGGACAGTGCTCTAAATACTTAACCACAGATGTTACACGTGTTTGGCTTTCCATCATTTACTTACCTGCTGAGCTGTTGCTTGATGCAGAGCTCGGTGACGACTGGGGCTTTCTTTGCCTTTTGTGTTTCTCAGCTACAACCGTTTCAGTGACATGTAGGTAATGAGCATTGCACCTGGATAGGTGAGCATAGTTCATAAACCATCCATCCATTTTCTTAACGGTGTATCCAATTAAAGGAGCCGGTCTCAGCAGGCCAGACTGTTGCAGAGCACCATTAACCAGAAGTTTTAGTTTTTTGGTCAGCGTAGTGTTTTTAACTAAACTATCAGAAGTTTCTCGCTTTTTACAGCCAACACTTCGTCTGTTTTAAGCACGTCCTGTACATAAGAGCACCAAAATGACCTTTTTTATAGCCACTTTTCATAATGATGATGTGAAGAAATCTGCGACAGGAGGTACACTTAAAATGATTCCTTTTATTGCATTCAATAAAAGATGCTGCAGCAGAGCTCCAACAGTTTAGAAATGATGTTTCTTTCATTTGTTCAAAAAGTGCTGAGCCTTTGTTGAAAGGTAGAATTCAAGGTTTCACTTCCTCCAAGCTAGGAGACCTTCTCTTCAAAGGTGTTAATATGAGAAGCATGAATTACTCCCTTTAATACGCTAACTCTGATAATGGACTGTCATTCAGTGAAGAGAGGACCTGGAAACACAGCAAACACACAAAACTCCAGATGGAAATTAGACTAAATTTGATCCTTCAAGGGGGTTCCTATGGCGCACTATGTCCTGATTATGCTCACATTATGTAACATTATGAACACAGTGTAGAGCCGTGCATTGGTCACTTTGACAAAGCAGCAGGTAGCAACTCCAAATAGCTTAAAAGACGGAAAAACATGAACAGCAGCTTTTCTTCTTACATCTTCTTATTATGAAACTATAATTTAATCTGTACATGTTGCTCTTCCTTTGCTTTTTCCTCTGATGCAGGAAAGATACAGAAGGATGCGAGGAAGGAGTCGTGCAAACCTATTCTCAAAGTGGAATACAAGACCTGCAGGAACAGGTGCGTGTGTCTTAAACATTTCATTTCCTGATTGCACAGACGTAGCACCGCCTTTTTTTAAAATTGATATTAACCTCTGAGATGAGATTTAAAGATTTCTTTTGAGTCCTCACAGGAACAAACAACCGTTGTGTATGCGTCACTTATTTCATCGATCATCGGCGTTTAATTCGATTTGAAACAAGAGCGTGTTTCATTTTACTCGTTACTCATTCTTTCTTTCTGCTTTGTCAAGGTGAGCATCTCTAAATCCATTCTCTTCCTTCACAACAGTGAGCCTTTTGTTATCTTCTCTGGGGGTCTTTCATATGACAAGGCGGGACGACGGCCGGCACTGACGATCATGCACGGCAAGGCCATCACTGTGCTGGAGATGGATTACCCCATAGTAGAGTTCATGGTGCTGTGCGAGACTCCATACAACAACGGTAAGGGCGTACCGATTCAATTATAAGAGCTGTGTCCCTTTTTGTGGTCTCGCTTCAGTGAGTTTGAAGCCTTTCACAGAAATGTGGTTTTCAGCCACGGGGGGTTTTCACCCGCTCGGTGCCATCGGCTTCTCCTGTAATCCTGTCATAATGTGGAAATCACAAGAGCACGCTTCCTTAAAACTCACCAACTCACCACCGACTGACGTTCAGTCATTTTTATATGAATGTCAGCTGATTTTAAATTTGCATCCCTCCTTGATGTTGTCGTGGTAACTAGCATTACTTCTCCATCTTTCTGTTTGCATTCGGCCTTCACAGAGGTCCAGGAGCCTTACGCTGTGGTCGTGCTTCTGGAGAAAGACTTAATCGTGGTGGATCTAACACAGAGCAAGTACGTCACTGTGAAACATACAGTTAGACATCATATATCAGAATCACACCATCGC